TTCTTCGCCTCTTCCAAAATATTTAACATTTTATTGTGCTCTTCTTGCAAACCTGACACGTGATTAGGGCAATCGGACGGCTCTTGACTGTTTTTTGAAGCAGCTTCATTATCAACGGCTTTTTCATGGCTGTACTGCTCCCTAAAGCAAATGAAGCCGTTGTAAAACAGTCTTCACGAACAAAAGCAATTTTTTTCTGTAGGTTCCAATGAAATGGATATCGATTAATGAAAATAGACATTTAACGATGCTGATATCGTTGAAAACCCCTACTGAAACTGCAGTTGCATTCATTATGACGGACGTCGGGCACTGACATGAAGCCATTAATTTCGATTACGCCCTCTTCACAACAGGGCAGCCATCAATATTAAGTATGCCAGTCCAGTTTCAGGAGTCAGTGTTTTACCTTACTAATATTTCTTTTACTGCAGCAACAGCAATTTTGACAAGGCCTTCAGAACGACACCTGACCATGTTCAAGGAATGATCAGTTGATGAAAGAATCATACTGTTGAAGTGGCAGGTCATAAACAATGGAAGACATATGTTGAAGCTGCAACGCAGAAATCTTAATGGTATTAAAAACAAAACACTGCAGAATTGACGCACTGGTAAATATGTCAGCTACGAACTGCAGATGCCGGGGTCGATTCCGCTGAATGAACGGACTATGAATTCTTTTGAGCAAGGAATCAATCCCTTCAACGGAACCAGGTGAGAAACGGATAATAAGCTGGTGACTTGGGAAAGTAGACAGCATGATAATATGGCCTGATCATGCCAAAATGGACGAAGTGTAGGGTCATGCTGTTCGATACGAACGCCCCTTGTGGCTACATTTCACCTTGCACCTGGGAGCTCATTATGCAGTGTAATAATCAGCACAAGGTGTTAACTCGATTATTATTAAAACATTTCAGTTGAAGGAAAAATCATTTAGTTCAAAATAAAGGGCATATTACTGACCTTGAACCGTCTGAATCCTTTTCCGTGTATTTGTCTGGAGCATTATTCGTTGGACTGGCCTCAGCTACATGCGTAAACACATCATCCGTGCAAAATTCCGAGCCATTTGTCGACAAACTGGAAACGGGTTCGTCTGCGACCTTTGACTGGCATCGATAACGAATATCACTTTGACTGACTTTGGTGTCTCCATCATATCCCAAACGAACGTGAGTGTTGTCTGTCGCATCGTTAGCAGAGCAGGCATTCTGATGGCTTGGTGACTCAGAGGGAGAACTTTCAGATTCACTTTCATGACAAGATATAAGTACCAGTGATTCATCTGAACCTGAGGTGGAAAGTTGTTCAGATTCTTCCATATGCCTTTCAGGCCGGTCTGCGTTCCTACTTTTTGAAAAACTGCTGTTGCATGAAGACCTATTTGGCATACGCTGCAGTTCGTTATTAACAAAGTCCGCTTCCCTGGAACTCAACGAAGTAGAAGCCACTGTGTTGTCTCTGCCATGCTTCGGATGCTTAATTCCGGAGGCTAAAGGACAAAGCTTAGGGCTTTCATTCTGAGCGGCATTTTCACTAGTGCGATGTCGAAGCGCATGCCTCGTACTCTGATGTGACGGAGAAACAGCACAATTCTATAAACGAATATCTGTCAGCGCAAAGCATAATACGACATCATTTATTTGCAAAAATGTCTGTCACTTGAAAGTCGATTTTCAGTCAGGAAGTCAACGTGTGAATTTATTTAAGATTTACCGTAAAGAAATGGTATATTTGCTGATAAACACAAAAATAGTAGAAACAGCGTCAGCTTTTGCCACACTATACCTTCTTTTGCCATGGGCGGCATGGCGTCGTTGCTTTATTCATTTCATACGAAAGCGAATGTTCGTCCTGTTCGCCGTTCGCGCGGATATCACGATAACTAATTGATATCACTGATAACTTATGATGGCAACAGGCAACAACAAGTTGATGCCTACATTTTTCACTGCACCACGCACTCTACTCTAATCCGCCTTCTGTTCCTCTGATCAATTAGCTGACATGAGATATTCCTATTTTATAAGCATCAAAATCAATCGCGAGCGATCAAAATTAAAAATTTCTTTTTAACACTAACACTATTTCTGGCCCAAAAAATGCCACCAACAAATGATCAGTAAATGCTAGTATAAAGAGGTATTAAGAAGAGACAATGAAGCATTTTTTGGAGTGAAATATGTTCAAAGAGAGTTTTTTTCGAGAGAAGTGAATTTTGAGAAGATGAATAGCTGATTAAGCAAGTAGTTAAACTCGTTTCTAAAAGATGGTCATTCATAGCTTGCATTCGCAAGCATTCACTCTACGCCCTTAAACAAAATTCTTACTTTTGAATGAGCATGCAACTTTTGCACTGTTTCTTGAGGAACTGCTGCAACACATCGATCATCATCATCATAACTTTCATAGTCCTCAACTACGTCTTCGTCTCGGTAATGTTCGTAGTGATTACTAAAAGAAGTTTACTGTGTTTTCCAGCAGGGAATTCACTCACGACGTTACCGCTCAGAACATGCCAATCTTGGCGACCGTCTGGAAGCAAACGCTTTTTTCTTGGATACGTGGTTTTTCGTTCCAGCATGCTCGTAAAAGCTGAAAGTAGTTCTGTAGGCAAATACTGTTAGCAACTCCGGCTCGAGTACTTACTTATCGTGTGCTGCATAACTCACTTCGTGATAGGGCTTGGATGCCCGACTGCTGCTGCAAGAAGGACGCAGACCTGGGGAAACTGCCTCGTCGTAGGAACGAAAGGTTTCCTTTCCTCTTGTACTATCAGACGCGTATAGCCGCTCGTTGAACAAGTCGTGAAGTTCTCGAGAGCAGAAATCAACTTGCACTTTTTTCCTATCAATAGTTCTCGTTTTCATATCCTAAAATTGGCAAACGTTAAGCACAGCAGCTACAAAAAGTCTTCATATCAATAAACGAGGTAGAATAAAAAATAAATGAAACGAACCGTTACGGCTTTCTGCGCACTTTCTACGCAGTCATAGTTCAGCAGCGCTTGATGTCGCACCCGGTCGATTTCCACGCTAACTACCTTTCCATAGTAGCCCATCTTTCGCGACAAGTGATCATCGGTGATATAACCCGGCAGCTCATTAATCCAAATCATAGTCGAAGGCAAAGGCTTGCCAAAACCAACCTAAAAGAAACTAATACAAATGTCCAGCATCACAACGACATGAAAGTCAAAAACACCATGACCAAGACAAATGAAATTTATCCCATTCTTCAATGCAGCAAATTATGCTCGAAATTTCGAAAACCAAAATAAAAGTAACGTGCCCGCTAAAGCTCTTAAAGAAAATCAACTAATTATTAGCCCGACTTTTGAATATGAATGGTCTTGGATTATACCACATTTTCCCTTCACTTTCAATCAGAATTCTCGGCTTCCGGCAGAGAAACATCATCATGAGCATTTCACGAACACTGTAGAAACTTAGCATAACAGCGGCGGGGATTGAACACGATATTCTGAAGAACGATGTATGATCAAACAACTGTAGCCTGCTACGCATACTGTGGAAAACATTCATTTAGAAGCAACGAATGAGTTTATAAAGGTTGACACTCAGCATTCCGCCATCCAATAACAGATAAAAAATCACGATAGAAAGGAAAAACTGAACGGACAACATCCGGAATTAATAAGAAATGAATACTGCTTGCCGCAGCATGGCAAAACTGCACCCATACTGCACCATCTATCTTAGATGATATGAACATAACTGTAGGTAATTTCCTCATCCAACGTATTCGGCCTCAAAGGAAGCGAGCAAACTTTACTGTTTACGTGTTTTGCTAGCACCTTCAGGAACGCGCCATGAACAAAACAATTTCAGCGAAAAAAACTCCCCCTTCGATGTATTTCACCTCAAGATATTCAACATTACGAAAAACCAGAAATTCAAATGCACATAACCTATCGAAATCTGAATATTTTGTAACACTTACATAATTGGCGCAGTATTCACACTTATGATGATGTGTGATCTCACCAGATCTCCTCCTTGAGTGCGATCTGTGCGTTGTGCGGTTCCTCATCGTACAATAAGCAAATTATCCGCACTCAACAATTGAACTGCCTGAAACGCTTTACAGACTAAGGATTACTGTAATGCGCAGGTACAATCTGGTGTAAATAAGGAATCGAGTGAAAAAAACTTGACCGAGGAAGATGGTGCCTGACCAAGCTGCTTTTAACGATAATAGTTTAAAATACAATTCATGAACTGAGCTAACCTAAATGCCATATAAAAATTACTCCTTCACGTGAAACATTCCGAAATGAAACAACGTCACAGCTGTTCCTCCCCATAATAACGCTTTATGGTTCGAATTCCAGGTGCAATTCTGCGTTTTACGTTATTTTCAATCCACGTTTTGCAGTTAATCTTAGTCAGCCATCTGATATGTCAAAACGAATTACAGCGCGTCAAACGTACGCATCACACAGCATAAACATTTACCTCACAAATTAAGGCATGACGAAACCAGAACACGATGTGCTTCTACGGTTCGGAGGTGAACGACACGCGAAAAGCTTCTCGAATCGCTGCGCCAAAGCATGCGGGGCGTGCGCCTCCAAATGTCAGAGGCAAACTACTAACTCACTGCATCACTACTCCAACTGTCCTTTCGATGAAAAATTTTTTAGCTATGCATTTCCATGCATTTAACTTTCACTCAATAAAGTGCAATGAAACTATTTTTATTTCCAAGTAATGCTACTTTATTGCTGAATGGTTAATTGCACAGCAAGCAAAGAAACGGATAATTAATCACATCAACAGTGGAAAGGATTCAGGAGCATCATGGCCCAAAGTGAGCAGCACGGATGTGCAAAATATAGCAGCCGATGTGTAGTTTCAATGATTTAAGTATGTTAATTTTGGCGCGATTTGGTCCTACCACCGATACAAAATTAACATTAACAAAATTAATTCTATAAATATTTTTGGAAAAACAACAACCATGCGGATCAACGTCCAACGCCCGAATGAGAAATTCATTCGTAATGTTCAAGAGAGTGGCGAGGTCTCTGCAAAGCTTAGCCGCCCGAGTCTCATGGCACTGTCTTCAACGAACACTATACTGGATAGGACGTTGCGTGTCTTATCAAGGGACGCGTACGCTATTCGATGACT